ATTTAATTTTAAATAATAACCATTAACTATTGTATAAATAAACAGTTATATTAATTAAATCTGTTATCTCCCATTCATTAGTTACTTTTCGCTATTTGCCATTTATTAGCAATTATTGTTATTCATTATTCATTATTTACTACACACTATCTACTATCCGTTGAACTTTAACCACTATATCAAATATACATTTGTTAGTGGATTAAGTTTTAAATAATTGCTATTATTAAACTACTAAATAAAAAAATCTTATCAAATACCAAATAATTAATGGCTAGTAAAAAAATTTGTCAAAAACTATTAAATTGTAATTTGAATAAAATTATTAACTACTGCCTCAATGGGATAGATTAACGATTAAAAACTTAAAACTCCAAGTTGAAGGTTTCAAGTTTAAGTTTTGAATTGGGTGAAGAAAACTATTCTTTCTTATATAACTTATAATTAGATATACTAAAACAAATTAGCTACTAATCCCAAAGTGGTATAGTAATGGTAAAAAAAATTACACTAGGTGGTCATCTTGCAAGATTTTATTTTGTTAATAGAACATTTTCTCTATCAAAAATAATTGTTCCAAAAAATCAGGATAAATCAAAATATATAAAAAGTTGCCAAGTTTTTCCATTTTTTAAGGCAACTGCAAAAGAGAAAAAATGGAAACACAATTCTTTTAATTTCAAAGCAATTTCCCTAAAATCTTTAAATTAAAACAAAGAGATTTGAAAATAAAAAATAAAGAAAATAAAACCAAGCTCTTCCATTTGCAGACCCTCCTATATATTCCTTCCTCCATCGCCTGCAAACCTTCTGTTTCTTTCTCTACAACATCGATGCAAAAGCATACACACGCATTCATACCCAGATTCAATTTATTTGGTTAACTGTATTTGCTTTGGTAAATCAAATTAAGACACAATTGGGGGAAGGGAAGAATTGTTTTGTGGCATAAACTAGAGGGGGATGGCTGTAACCTCTTATCTTATTCCTATTGTGCCTCCTCTCAGATCTTAGTTTATTGCAAGATTTAGCATCTGGGTTTCCTTTGATTGGTGGGTTTTTGTTGAATCTGGATTTGGGTTTTCGATCTCTGTCAAAATTCTTTTGTAAAGTTTGCAGCTTGATGAATTCTCTGATTGATTTTGTTTCTCTCCATTTTTTTCTTTAAGGTGTACTCAATTCTGGGTCGGTGGATTGATCGATGAAGGATCTGTTGTTTCTATATTGATCAGAGAAGTTTTGTGTTTGTTTTGGAATAGAATTTGTTGCTCCCTCCTTGTCCAATCAAGGTATTAAATTTTATATGCATTTCTATTTTATTTGATCGGATTGTTGTAGTCTATATTGAGGGACAATTTTGATTTGCCACCGGCATTTTGATTATCTACTACGACTGCTGTTGGTTCTGATGAGCCTATCGCCTTGCCGTAAAATTCTGTTTCATAGATTGGATCCAGTAGGTAGTTTGATTTTTCTGTGGTGGAATAGGTTTTGTTTTGAATTGGCAAGTATTTTTGATTTACATTTGTGATTTTTGGACTTTATGTTGATGGAAGTAGCTTTCTCTTGTCGATAAGATGTCTGAGAATGGAAAGTTATTTATTGGTGGAATTTCTTGGGACACCAATGAAGAACGTCTCAAGGAGTACTTCAGTAGCTTTGGGGAGGTGGTGGAAGCAGTGATCATGAAAGATCGTGCAACAGGTCGTGCCCGTGGTTTTGGTTTCATTGTTTTTTCTGACCCAGCCGTTGCTGAAAAAGTGATCAAGGAGAAACATAACATTGATGGCAGGATGGTAAGTTGTTAATCTCTGGCATGCTTTAACTAACATGGTGCAATGCATAATCAAAGTTTTCTATGGTTCTGTAGAAAAAGATGAAAAATTTAGTCCGTTAACAGAATCTTGAAACTAATTGTAATTGCAGGAATTTATTTAAATTCTAGTTCTTGTTCAACTAAATTTCAAATTCAGCCAAGACTAACCATGTCTTCTTTTCTTCTGTTTATTTTTTTGCTCTGACATTTTGTTGGTTCATTATTACTGGTTTTATAATTTCCACTCCATTATGAGAATTTGTGGATGTCTTGCTGTTTGAGCTTGATGTTCATTATTGAATTATTTATTATCAGGTTGAGGCAAAAAAAGCAGTACCTAGGGATGACCAGAATATTATGAGTAGAAGCAGTGGTAGCATCCAGGGTTCTCCTGGTCCAGGCCGTACAAGAAAGATTTTTGTAGGAGGTTTAGCATCTACTGTCACAGAGAGTGACTTTAAGAAGTATTTTGATCAGTTTGGGAATATCACAGATGTTGTAGTGATGTACGATCACAACACCCAGAGACCTAGAGGTTTTGGATTTATCACTTATGATTCAGAAGAGGCAGTGGACAAAGTTCTGATCAAGACTTTTCACGAACTTAATGGCAAAATGGTTGAGGTTAAGAGAGCAGTGCCCAAAGAATTATCTCCAGGTCCCAGTCGCAGTCCACTTGGTGGGTATAACTATGGTCTTGCTAGGGTCAATAGCTTCCTTAATGGCTACACGCAGGGATATACTCCAAGTACTGTTGGAGGCTACGGGGTTAGGATGGATGGCAGATTCAGTCCAGTTGCCAGTGGTCGAAGTGGGTTTCCTCCATTTGGTTCTGGTTATGGAATGGGCATGAACTTTGAGCCATCATTGAGTCCTAGCTTTGGAAGCAACACAAATTGTAGTAGTAATATCAGCTTTGGACGGGGATTGAGCCCCTACTATATTGGTAATACAAATAGATTTAGTGGTCATATTGGGTATGATGGAGGAAATGGAGGAAATTCTTCCTTTTTCAGCTCAGTGACTCGGAATCTTTGGGGAAATGGGGGACTTAATTATAACACAAGTACTGCAAGTTCCAGTGCATATATGGGATCTGGAAGTGGTGGCATTGGAGGAAGCAACTTTGGTAATAATGGGATTAATTGGGGTTCCTCAGCAATTTCAGGTCAGGGTGCAGGAAATAATGTTTCTAATAATAGTGGGAACTTGGGATATGGAGGTGGTGATAACAGCTTTGGATTGGAAGCAGCAGGATATGGAAGAAACAGTGGGACTAATGTAGCACCAGCCTCATCATATGCAGTATCAAATGGTAGCTATGATGGAGCCTTTGCAGACCTTTATGGTGGTGGTTCAGTTTATGGAGACAGAACTTGGAGGTCATCAACATCTGAGCAAGATAATTCTGGTTCCTTTGGCTATGGGTTTGGAAATGCCACTTCTGATGTTCCAACTAAAAATTCCCCTGGTTATGTCGGTGGTTATGGTGCTAACAAGAGACAGCCAAATAGAGGTAAGGCTTGTTATTTTGTTTATTAAATCCTATCTATGAAGTTAGCAGCGTGGATATTTATCATGGTTTTGTAGGAAAATTTTTTTAAACCTTTAGAACCTTAATTGATATAGAATTGCAAAAGATTCATCTAGGAGCACTACTAGCTATCCTTTGAACTAAAATAATTGCACTTCTGTAGCATCCTCTATTTCTTCTTCGTTCAGAAGAATTATTTTCATTTTTTAGATTGATAGCATCATGACCATGTGATGATATAATAGCTGAGAGTTGTTTATATGCAAACTTAATGACATAAAAATTTAAAAAAAAAAAAAAAGAAGTCATTTTTTAGTTTTGTTAGCACATTTGTTCTAAATTTGTTATCAAAATTGGTAGCCTGAATTTTTAAATTAATTGTCAAAAGTAAGGCAAAATATACTGAGTGGAGCTGGTGCAAGTAGCTAATAATTATGACAGTGGAGCTGAGTGAAGATATTATGGATTAGGAAAAGCAAAGAGATTAAGGATGGAAACACCATTTTGTCTGTCATATTGACTGACTGTCAATTGTATTTGTCTATGCATCAGATTTAGGTTTGAGTGCCCATTTATTTAGTAAGATAAGATTTTGTTTTCCTATGCTTAAGTCCTATTGAAATGTTTGGATGCATGAATTGGTTTCTTACGTTTAGTTTGGTGGAATCATATAGGCCCTTATATTCTTGCTTTTTGTGACATTTTTTCTCTCTTTCTACTCTCCATTATATCCTTTTGATTTTAATTACATTACTCATCATTAATAATGCCTTTGTTGGTTTTCTTTTCATCAAGTATGGTTGAATAATTGTACTATTGTGGACATGTAGATATCTTCTTATGTGCCATTGAGAGAGTTTTTTTTGCCGAGGATACATTATACACAGACATTTTGCTGAAGCAAACCAATTCATAAAAATAAGAAGTTTCTGAAAATAGCTTTAGCACACTTCATACCATGTTTCTTCTTTTTTCTTGCTGGTCTTGGTCATGCCTTTTGTGGAGCGTAGGTTTTCTCTATTCTGCCTTATGTAGTATTACTTAACTTTATGTCATGTTTTGGTATCTCATTAACCTGAAAATATTAAGAACTTTTTTCTAGGTGATTAAAAGATCCTTTATTGTCAACACACTCAGTAAAACCAGTAATTGAGCATGCTTTCTGAAGTCATTTATTAATAACCAACATGAAAGCCAGAGGCAAGCATTATGTTGGTCACTTCTGTTGTGAATCTTGTTTTCCGATGTGGATATTTGGTTGTAGGCACTTGTTCCTAATATCTTGGCATACCATGCAAAATTATTTGAACAAAAAGCACCACAACATAGAGAAATAGTTGCAAAAAATTTTAACACTCATTTACACGGAACCTTAAAATCAATAGCTTTAGCGTGATGTGAATTGTGATAGCCTTAGAAAGTCACTTTTCTCTTATAACTGTTCTCATAATCCTTTAGCAATTTCTGTGCTAGACCTTTGTCTGTATTTTATATTGACTTTGCTTTCTTTTTGAACAAACTGAGCCCTCACATAGTGTTCTCCATGTAGAGTATAATATATTGTAGATGTGGAGATCTTGTAATTACACCTGCTGCAGTTCCTCTGGTGGCTTAGCTTTTTATGTATTCATCATGATTTTCTTCTTCAAGCCCTAAAGAAAAAAAAAAAAAAAATCATGATCATGTTCTTCTTCCTCA